GGCTGGCCTCGAACTCACAGAGATCCACCTGCCTCTGCCTCCCGAGTGCTGGGATTAAAAATGTGTGCCACCACCACCCAGTGAAAATAATCTTATGGTTGGGGGTCACCACAACGTGAGGACCTGTATTAAAAGGTCACAACATTAGGAAGGTTGAGAACCACTGCTCTAATGGTTACATGTAAATTCAATTTCAATCCTTTTTATCTTGTCAATTTAGTTAAATTTTGAAAAATGCTGTCTACTGTCTCTTGGTGAGTTTTTGCTAGACTGTGTATTTGGTATAAATCTAGACACTTCTTACAAGTTGTCACCCCGATTTTAGTATCAAGAGAACATTTGTAAGATTCTGAATTTCTCCCAGAATACTTCACTGTTACACATCTAAGAACAAAGACAGCCATGTAAGTAATGTTATATCATAAAAGGACAAGTCTTAGACGACTTAAACTCAGTTGTCCACTTGTTAAAGGGACAGCATCATCAATGATAATGGCATTGTCATTTTTCAGTGGTCGTGTGGGACAGTCAGCATGAGTGAAGAGCGGTCTGCCATGAATTACTCTCTGGAAGTCACCATGGCCACGGCCCTACATGATGAGGTCCAGGTTTTACAGGACTGCCACCATGGACGACAGTCTTGATAGAGGATTCTTGGGTCACTTTGGGCGTCTGGGGACTGGAGGCATTTCCAGCTAACTGCTGGTAGTTTAGGGCTCCTGGGCAGATGACAGAAGCCATGCTATTTTAAGTCAGGCCTTTCTTGAATTGTCTTGGCCCTAGATTCATATGTAGAAGTCCTTATCCAATATGGCTGCACTGGAGTAAGGAAGTAATGCAGGTCACATACGCTGAGGACAGTGGGCCCTGGTCTGACTGATTGATGACAGTGTTAGAGATCAGAACAGCCCCTCTGCTGGTGAGAACACAGCAAGAAAGCCTCCTCTGGCGCCACCCGGAGAGATTTCAGCAGAAGCCACACTGGCAGAGCAGGAGTCCTGTGCAAGTAGGGAGTCTTTGACCCCACCCCCCACCTCTAGCCTCCTGGATTAGTCATGTGATGCTGTGACACAAGCATCCTAAGGGGTTATTCGGGTTCACCATTCCAGGATACAGACTGTCACAGGGGAAGGCGTGAGGGCAGGATCGTGAGGCAGCTGGTCACGTGTGTCCACAGTCAGGAAGCGCAGAGATGAGGGTTGATGCTCAGCTAGCATCCTTCTGATGTGGTCCAGACTCAAGTCCTGGGAGAGGTGTCAACCCCTCCCACCTCAGTTATCTAACCCAGATAATCCCTCACAGGCTCACCAGGGACTCCTCTCAGGTGATTCTGGGTTCTGTCAAGTAGATAGTTAATATTAGCCACTGCAGCTCCTCTTAACACGGGGACCTGCAGCTGCACCCCCAGCCCAGCGTTAGGTTCAGGAGACCCCAGAGCCTTTCCATTCACCCACAGTCTCCCCTGTCCCTTGTTCATGGAGTGTCCCTCCGTAACAGCTTGTTTATTTCCTGTGGGGCACTGTTTATCGGTTTAGCCTGTCCGTGAAATTAGTAAACTCCATGAACTCGGACTGAGTTCTTTCGTGGCAGAGTGTGCTCTCTCCTCACAGGGTATCTAGCACCCAGAGAAATGGTAGTGGCTGCTGGGAGGTGCAGGCATGAGCAGGAAGGCAGTGTCTTCCGGGCACACATCAGAAAACCTGCACAAACATTTGTCTTACAAATACTATGGGTTTCGTCCAGAATTTCTCATCAGCTGGATGTTTTTAGTTAAACCACTTAAATCTCAGTGAATGTGTGTGTGTGTGTGTGTGTGTGTGTGTGTGTGTGTGTGTGTGTGTGTGTGGACAGTGGGTGCAGACAGGGTCTCATGGAGTCCTGGCTAGCTTCAAGCTTGCTGGAGGGCCAAAGAGGTCATTGAACTGATCTGCCTTCCTTCCCAAGTGCTGGATTTACAGACGTGTGCACCACCATGAGTGGCTTTTTTAATTAATTTTTATTGAGTGTGTGTGTGTGTGTGTGTGTGTGTGTGTGTGTGTGTGTGTGTGTGTAGCCTACATGTCTGTGTACCATGTGCACAGCTGTTACCTACAGAGGACAGAAGATCTCAATGGATCCATAGCCTAATCACACTGACTCCACACGTGTCTGAAATAACCAATCCAATCAGGAATGTGAGACCTTACTCTTTCCCCACAGTTCTCTACTAGTCAACAGATAGCCCAGAGAAAGACACAGGGAAATCTACAGTTAAAACTCTTGTATAGTTGCTTTTCTCTCCCTTCCTCTCTTTCCAGCTTACACTGAGTTCAGAATGACAGATTGTCTGTGTCTGTAGTTGCCTTTGCTTCAAACAAACCCTCTTTCACTTAATGCTTTACACATTACATGGGGATATTTTATTTTATTTTATTTTTATTTTACAATACCATTCAGTTCTACATATCAGCCACAGGTTCCCCTATTCTCCCCCCCTCCCACACCCTCTCCTTACCCCCAGCCCACCCCCCATTCCCACCTCCTCCAGGGCAAATCCTCCCCCGAGGACTGCGATCAACCTGGTAGACTTAAACCAGGCAGGTCCAGTCCCTTCCTCCCAGACTGAGCCAAGTGTCCCTGCATAAGCTCCAGGTTTCAAACAGCCAACTCATGCAATGAGCACAGGACTTGGTCCCACTGTCTAGTTGCCTCCCAAACTGATCAAGCCAAACAACTGTCTC